AAAAAAAAAAAAAAACAAACAAACAAAAAAGTCTTGATTACTTTTTTTCAGCGTAACTGTATCGCATCCATCTGCACAGGAACACAGACGTACTCACACACGCAGACACAAGCACGCACTCTCGTTGCAAACCCTTCAGCCCCCCCGCCCCCCCCCTCTCCCCTTATGTTCACAAAGCGCGTCTAAAATCAAATTATAGATCTCCCCTAGACAAACCCCACACATTCCATTGGAATTCACGTGGATTTTATAATTCTTCCACACATTTTCTTCCCCGACCTCTGATAATCCGTGTCTGACCTTCCTGCACACAGCCTCCACTTTGTGTACTTTAAGCATGTAACCCCCACCATAACCTAACCCACCCCGTTTTCCCCTTCCCATCCCCGCCGCCGCTCCTCCCACCCCCCTGACCCCTGCTGGCTCCCCCCCCTCTCCTCCTCTCCTGGTGGGTCGAGCTGAGGTTGGTAGCTGTACAGTAAAATTTGGGGGGGGGGGGTGCAGTCTTTATAATGAGCCGAAGAGAGGAAGGAGGTTCGGAGGGAGGAGCAGGAAGGCAGTGATCTGTGTTCAGTCATCCTCCATTCCCTGGTTAAGGAGAAAGTTGGCCGCCAGGTTCTCGTTCTTCTCGCAGGCGAAGTAGGCCTGGATCACCAGAGGCTCAGGGAAACCCAACGCTTTTAACTGCTCGGTGAGAGAGAGGGAGAGAGAGAAGAACAAGGAGACAGAGGAGACGGGTTTAACAATCTGAAGTTCTTCGTCAACATTTCAAATATCGAATCCGTTACTCACCCTTTCGATGGCTTCCTTCTCCTGAGGTGTGACCTGGATATAGTTGACAGGTGCCCCCTCTTCTCCTGCTGCCCCCATCTCTCCAACCTCTGGAGCGTCTCCTCCCTCTCCCACTGGCTCGTTCAACATCTGGATAAATAGCTCCTGATATTGACTGATTTGCTGCCGAAGAAACGAGCGAGAGGAGGTTAGAGTCCAAACCCCTGGAACGTAATAATTACTTAGTTCCATTAAATCCACTGTTGAGCGGCGTCACAGCGTGTTACCTGTAGAAGTTGAGGGTTCTCTCGTCCTAGTTGCTGGAGGAGAGCTGGTAGCAGAGCAGGGTTCTGCTGGATGGCCTGTCTCATGTGCTGAAACTGGGGCTGGGTCCGCAGGAATGCAAGTGGATTATCTCCTGGAGAAATTCACATGTAACAGTCTGATATTTACACATTGTGGAACAACCTCCTAGTATATCTATTGTTATTAACACACCACCACTACCAGTGTGTGTTTCTACACAGCAGACAGACACACAAAGCTTAGCTGCAGATACTCTGCACTCCTCACCCTCTGCTAGAGACGGGGCTTCCGTAGGTCCAGATGCAGGGGCCTGCGCTGGCGGATTACTCTCCTGGACTGGGCTGCTGGGGATACCCTGGATACACAACCACACAACTATAAATCACACACATTTACAAACACACACTTCCTGACCAAAACAGTGCAATGACCACAAATGTTAGCAACTGACAGTGATGACAATTAGTCCATAGAACACACTTGAATACATTTACAGAGAGTCTGCAAATCTGTTTTGTGTTTGTTTAGGTGCCAGACTTGTGACGTACAGTGAGGAGGTATTCTACAGCTCTGTGGGGGTTGTTAAAACTGGCTCGTAGTGCGGCCACCACTCGCTCCCTTTCATAGCCCATGGACATGATCTCCGTCAGCATCGCCTCGTACTCGGCCCCAGTCACTGAAAACACACAGACAGACACACACACACACCTTCAGGAAAGTATCAACAACTGTAAGAAGCATCTTTAAGCAGCTAAGACGTTTCTAACACAACTCTTCTCTACGTCGTCTATTACTTTGTGACGGCAACTGAGGAACAAACAGCAAATCCCTCACAGAGGAACCTTCCAGACAGAGTGTTTCTTTAATAATGCAGCAGGCACCTGACTCTTCAGGGCTGGTCAACTCCTCACCACAACTGTGGGCTGAATCTTTCTATACGTATAATAATTTTATAATAACATAAAATATGGACCTCAAAGTCGCAGGTCACCTTCGGTTACATTTTGTATGTACAGTTTCTATAAGTGGAACGAAGGGGAGCCCCCCCCTCACTCTGTTGTACCACAATAAGAGATTACTGACTTTTGTCACAGCCTAAATATAGGATCAGTATGTATTTCACTGCAGCCTGTAAAGTCCCTGACACACAGCAGTAACAATTTCTGGCACAGCAAGTTTCACCTCGGTTTTACACAAGAACTGTGCTGCTGTGACATTAACACAACGACAACACTGTCAGTTGTCTAAAATGGTACAATTTACATTTAACAACAGTGAGGGAATTGTCAAAACTACTGCACTGAGACTATTAGAGGTTCACAGGCTCCGCTTGCTTGTGTATGATGTAAGTCTGGCAAGGGCCCATCCATTACCTACCCAGTGCTGAGGAGGCATCCAAGCCCTGGCTGCCGCCACTGGAGCTGCAAAGCATGAAAGGTGAAGAGGAAGAATAAGACTTTCTGTGATTTTACAATGATGAGCAGAGCGGTGGAAAATAAATGTGGACAACTTCAGTAGAAACCAACTTCTGCTCCCGATCACTAGAGTTTAAAATGTAAATGTTGATCTTAAATTTGGATTTAATCAAACCCCTTGAATGAATCATCTTCTTGTATCAACACATTTTCTTTAAACATTGTTGTTTTCACGCTCTGTTACAACACATCCGCACATCCACGGCTTGTAATGAATCACTGCGATCAAAGATCTGAACTGAACGTTACAGAGAGATAGAGCTCATCTGTTCCACAAAAAATACAATAAGTCATATCAGACATATTTTGTTAAATCTCCTTTTAATTAAGATTGAAAAAATAAGATTTAAGGACATTAAATCTCTTATTATTTCTCATTATTTTTATCTGTCAGCTGCTCAAATGATGAACTCGTCACTGCAGCTCCAAACACTACACGCTACACAGTCTACCTGGCAGGTTGTTGTGGTTCTGTCTCTGTGGCACTTGGCTCCTCTTTGGCCTCCTCGGGGGGAGCGGGGGCAGCTGCTGGGGTTGGTGCCGGGGCCGGGGTTGTGGTCGGCGCAGCTGTTGACGTGGAGCCAGAGTCCTGCACGGGGGGCTTGGGCGCTTCTGAGACTGGGGGCGAGGCGGCAGCTGCAGGCTTGGCCTTTAGTCGTTTGAAAAAAAAGAAGGTGCTGTTAGACTAACAACTTAACAGCGATGAGTAATTAACACGTGCAAATAGAAAAAAAAACACACGTGTAAATTGAGAAAACAACCCTGACAATTTGATGACACATGTGCGCGTGTTATTTCTATTAGCAAGTGTGCAGAGCTCTCCCGGCCAACGCAGGAAGTACTCTACGCTAATATCAGCCACGGTACTTTAGTATTTGCGACCTGGCTCCTGGGATTAATCTGTTATCAGTCTGACAATGACATCTCACCTTGGACACCATCACTACGACAAAGTTCTTCTCATCTATTTTGTAGTCCTTGATAGGCGTGTCATCCTGCAGGATTTTCCCGGCGTAGATCAGCTTCTGGCCGGACACGGGGAAGTTGTCTTTACCTCGTTCTGCTTCTATCTTCTCTTTCAGAGCCTTCACCTGAGGAGGAAGAGAGGAGTCACTCTGTTACACAAACCCTCGTGGTCTCCGGTGTTTAAATGAATAACCCACTTCCCGTGCACGATGCTGTGCAGCTCCGTCTCCTCCTGCTTGAACTCATATTCCACAGCAATTGTTCAAATACGTGGAAACTGGACGTGTGGATCATTGACAGCGTCACGACCGTGGTGTTGAAGTCAAGAGTATTACACAGCATGACGCAGTAGTACACACAGTATACACCTGAAAATGTAGAGTACACAGCAGAAGCGTGTATTCTCCACAGTGTGAGATTGAACACAACGTGTCAACGAACACACGAAGCGACAGAACCGGAGTGTCGATTCGACGTTGGCCGTTGCTAGCTGCAGGACAAATGTGGGAGCATGCTAACAAACTCAGCTAGCTCCTGCCCACAATGCTAACCGTAATCGTTGTGCGCGTTAGCATTAGCCGGGTGGGCAGGTTCGATTCCGCGCGTGAAAGTGGCAGCGGCGCACCCGCTCGTTCGTCGGGAGGTCGCAGAGGAACCGCAGCGGAGAGAGAACCGCGAACCGAACCGGAACCGACGAGGAACCCGTTTGTCGCGATGACTTTTATTAGCGGGCTAATTGGCTAGTTAGCATGCTAACGTACGCTCGAGTGGGGTGGGGGGTGGTGGTGGTGGTTCGCGTTGTGTTCCGAATGATCTCCATGTGGATCTCTTGTTCCTGTGAGCCGAACTTAAAGTGTGTGTGTGTGGGGGGGCACCTCGAGTCCACAGCGCACACGTTGTTGTTTAATTATCGACATCGAGCGAATCTGCGGAGTCAACACGAGGAGCTACAAACACACGGCTCCGCCGCTAGCGCCGTTAGCTGGAAGTTAGCAGGTTAGCACGCTAGCCGCTCACCGTTTGTTCGGGGTCTATGTCGATCTGGATCGTCTGCTGCTGCAGCGTTTTCAGGGTGATCTGCATGGCGGCGGCGGGTGTGCTTCCTGCGGGGGGGAGAAACGCTCGCTCGCCGGGCGGCTAGTTCGCCTGTGAGTCCGGTGTTTCTGGTGAGATAGCAACTAGCCGAGAAATGTGTACATCCATGAGCACTCAGCAAATCGCCATCTTTGGTGACAAGTTGCTGTTGAGGCGAGAAAAGCTGGAGGCTGCGAGATCTCGTTCAGAGGAACG